CAGTGTGTCAGACCTGCCCCAGCCGCTGAGGAGTGACGGCTTCTGACCCCCTGCCCAGCCCCTCAGTGCTGCCTCAGGGCTCTGCTCCATCTTCCCCAACCCCCTTCCCCTTCCGGCACATGCTGCCCATGGCAAAGACCCCCCAGCTCCCACTCAGACCTCCTGTGCGCTGTGGTTACTGGAGCAGCTGACTCAGGCCACAGCCCTGTGACATGCTTCCTGTTTTTTTCTACTGTTTTGTGTACAGCTCACATATTCATCTGTTGGTGTATTATTTTTTTTATATCTGCTTTGATTTGTGTTATATAAAGCATTTTTCTCTGGGACGAGTTGCAGCGTCCTAAATCTTGGGCATGATTTGCCCTTGGATAGGGAAAGGTTCTACTCCCACAGGGTGGTTGGGCACTGAACAGGCTCCCCAGGGCAGTGGTCATGGCCCCAAGGCTGCCAGAGATCAAGGAGTGTTTGGAAAATGCTCTCAGGGACAGGGTGGGATTGTCAGGGTGTCCTGGGCAAGGCCAGGAGTTGGACTGATGATCCTTGTGGGTCCCTTCCAGCTCAGGATATTCCATGATTCTGTGATACACTGTGGTGTGGCTGTGGAAATCCCAGCACAGACACATCCAGCCAGCGTGACCTGACCCATCATGTGGCTCCTGCCAGCACAAGGAGTGTGTGCAGGACTTCCAGGGTACCCTGATGGACCCTCTGCACAGCCCCACACAACATCCTCACATTCCACCCACCCGGGACAAGAGGAAATCAGGCCATGCTGCCACAGACAGTGGCAGAGCTGTGCCATGGTATAGCTTGGCAAGGACACGGAGCAGGGAGCACCCACTGCTCCATCCTCAGCTTCCCCTTCCGCCAAGAGCAGGAGGAGGGTCTTGGTGGCCAGTTCTGCCCCAGGAGGGCAGAGGAATAGGAGGCAGCTCAGTTGGCTTGTTACCCTCTGATTTTGCAACATCCCTACCCTTTGATCCTTCCCAGGACTTTGGCAAAGGATGAGGTCCCTTGGCAGGTCCCAGGTGCCTGCTCTCAGCCTGGACTTCCAGCACCAGGAATGTGACACAGCTGTGACCATCCTCTGGGATGGGCCAGGCATGGAGACCCTGGGGGACTGGGGAGCCCAGGGGCCCCAAGGAGGTGACCTGGCTGGGGATGGTGACAGTGCTGGGCCTGGCTCCCTCCCAGCTCCACTCTCAGCTTTGCCTGGAGCCAGACACACAAAAGCATCCTGGGGATGCTGCTGCCTCTGTGTACTGTGAGCCTCCAGCTGAGCCAGCTGCCCTGCCAGGGAAGGAGGGCAGAGCCAGGCACGGCTGTCGGGATCACAGCAGGGCACTGGATTTCCCTGTCACTCCAGGCCAAGGAGAAAGTGTGGCAGGTGCACTCAGGATGGGGAGATGCTGATGGGAAGGGCTGGTGGGTGCAGGCTGGGGCTGAGACTACAGCCCTGCTCCTGCCCTTGGCTGCCCAGCTCCTTTTAGAGTCACAGAATCATGGAATCATTAAGGTTGGAAAAGATCTCCATTCCCCCAGCACTGTCAAGCCCATCACTAACCCCTGCCCCAGGTGCCACATCCACATGTTTTTTGAACACTTCCAGGGACAGTGACCCCACCACCTCCCTGGGCAGCCTGTTCCAACACCTGACCACCCTTTGGGGGAAGAAGTTCTTCCCAATGTCCAACCTGAACCTCCCCCAGTGCAGCTTGAGGCCATTTCCCCTTGTCCTGTCCCTTGTTCCCTGGAAGCAGAGCCTGACCCCCACCTGGCTCCACTCTTCCCTCAGGGAGTTGCAGAGAGTGAGAAGGTCCCTCTGAGCCTCCTTTTCTCCAGGATGAGCCCCCCCAGCTCCCTCAGCTGCTCCTGGTGCTCCAGACCCTTCCCCAGCCCCGTACCCTTCCCTGGACACTCTTCAGCCTCTCAATGTCTTTCTTGAAGTGAGGGCCCCAGAACTGAACACAGAATTCCAGGTGCCTCAGCAATGCATCAGGGCTATATATGCAGAACGTCAGGGCTCCTCCATCTTCCATCCACGTGGCAGGACATGGTGGGAGATGCCTTTCCCCAGCTCCAGCCTAGTGAGCTTTCAGAGGAGATTTGGCTGCACACTGGCCCTGCTGGGAGTGGGAATTGGAACCCATTTCAGGATGCAGTAAAACCTTAATCTGCAGCCTAATCTCTGTTGCACTGCATCTGTGCAGCAGCCAAAAACGGCAGATGAGAGGGCTGTGAAGGGAGGGTTGGGACAGCAAAGGCCACTGTGAAGAGCCAGCGGGTTTGCAGGGGGACAGGGATCTTTGCTGGGGGAGAGGGAGACAGGACAGCAGGTGAGGGACCTCTGGCTTGTGGTAGGAGACACCCTGGGAGCAGGGAGAACACTGGGGTGTCAGTCCTGATCACCTGAGCAGCGTTCCCAAGGGCATGGAGCAAACACTGGGAGCACCTACTGAGATCCAAGGGGAATGCCTGGGATCAGGGCTGAGCTCAGCGACATGGGAATGGCCACGTGGGCAGCAAAGCCACCACAGTCCCCAGGGGCTCACACCTCCCAGCCCAGCGGGGATCCTCACTCCATGTCCTCTCTGGTGCCCTGCTCCCTTCCCATGGGGAAGCTCCTTATCTTGCTGGGCTGGAGGTGCTGATAAGCTCAGGCCATATTAGCAGGGGACAGGCTGAAAGACAGGCACCAGCCCCGAGGAAATGTGACAGCACAGCCTTGTTCCAGCAGCAGCAGAGCTGCCAGCAAAGGCTCAGCTCCTGCCACTGCTCAAGGGCACAGCCAGGGACAAGGTGAAAGGCTCTGCTGGCAGAGGGAGCTGCAGGATCAGAGGCAGGAAAACCAAACCTCAGGAGTGGCAGCTCGCTGCCCAAGCTGGCAAACACAGCATAACCAGTTTCTCCCTGAGCTTCCCAGCAGCACAAATAGCTCAGTTTTAGCTCTAACCTGACTCAGGACTCCCGGGTTGGAGGCAGATCCACCCCTGAGCCATGGGGAGCAGCAATGCCACCACACCTCAGCAGGGTGAGCTGGGCATGTCCCAGGGCCACCCCCACCCAGCAGCACCGGGCAGGTCCCGGCGGAGCAGGGAGGGAGGGTCACAGCCAGGATTAGCTGAGCCAGGCTCAGCAGGGCTGCACCTCCCTCCAGCAGGGCTGGGAACGGGCTCAGCTGGGATGCAGCAAGGACAGGGCTTCTCCCAGCCCTTCCTCACAGCTCAGCTGTTTTCCTACCAGGATTTGGTGGGATATAAAAGCCCAGCTCCATTCCGAGCCAAAGGCGACCAGGTTGTCCATCCTTTCTGAGGCACACTTGGGCCTTTTCTCCTTGGGGGTGACCAGAAACCCCAGGAACCCCCCAGTGACCCACCCATGAACCTGAAAAACTGACCTTCAGTTCAGAGAATCCCAAAATGGTTGGGGTTGGAAGAGCTTTACAGCCCATCCAGTTCCATGGGCAGGGACACCTTCCACTAACCCAGGTTGCTCCAAGCCCCGTCCAACCTGGACTTGGACGCTTCCAGGGATGGGGCAGCCACAGCTTCTCTGGGCAACCTGTGCCAGGGCCTTCCCCCCCTCACAATATTCCTTCCCAATATCCAATATAAACCTGCCCTCTGTCATGTTGTCCTGCAGGAACTGCTGGTGAGGCTGGTTCACCTCTGGAGGGGAGAGCAGGGACTGTTCCAGGGCTCTGCTGCCCTCAGGTGTTGTTTTTTACTGATATCCAAAACTTCCAAGTCAGCCTTGCACTAAGGGGCACTTCTCAAGTGTTGTGGTTGTGCTCCAAAAAAAGGCCTTTGCACGTGCATCAATTTATTTTATTTTATTTTTACCTTTCATGTAGTAAAAATCCTGCTTGAAGAGTGGGTGAGGAGCTGGAAGGTTCCAGTGCACACCTGCCCCTGAATAAAATTTGGAATCTGCAAAGCAAGGAAACAGCAGCTCAGCACTCAGCCTTCAGCAGTGGTTGGACCTAAACTGGCTACTAATTAATATTAATATTCATTTTATTAATATTAATGTTTCTGCTTTGGGCTGCACCTGTCACTGCCTCCTCAGCCCCTTTGCTTTTCTCTTCCCAGTGCTCAGTTGGAGCAGGATAACACACCCCAGGAATGTATCTAAATTAAGTTGCAGAGTTGCCTGACAGCCCAGAAACCTTCAGAGCCGCGTGGGTGCTGCTGTAGGACCCACAAGGGTAACACACACATAACCCGCAAAATCCCAGGGTTTAATTAAACTGTGCCAAGCACCTCCTTGGCTACCTAATAAATAATTTAAAGCCATTACATGTTGCAGGGTCACCATTGAAAGGGCTTGTTTGACTCATTACAGAGCTCTCAACATTCCATTAACCCTTATATAACATTCCATTAACCATTACTTCTTCCTAAGCAATTTACACCACTCCCCGCACCTCGAGGCTCAGCAGGAGGGTCTCTGCGATAAAGCCGAGGTTAGAAAGGACCTCAAAGTCTCTTCAGTTCCAACCCCTCCTGCCATGGGCAGGGACATCTTCCAGTAGACCAGGTTGCTCCAAGCCTTATCCAACCAGGCCTTGAATCTCTCCAGTAAACGCCCTCTAATAAACACCAACTCTGCCTTGATCTCCTCTGAGGTAAAAGGGAATTTACACCCCCTTGAGCGGCCCCGCCGTGTCCCGCACAGAGGGGGAGCCTTGGGAAAGTGGGAGACGCTCCTCCATCCCCAGGCACCCCCCGGGATGCCCCGACCGCAGTGAGGGGCGGCTGCGAGATCCACTATCCCTCCCCGAGGCAGCCCCGGAGCCCTCCGTGTCGCGCGGGGTCGGGTCGGGACGACCGCAGCTGAGTCCTCTCAGGGGGAGGTGCCTCAACATGGCGCCGGGCGGGCGGGCGGGGGAAGAAGCGCCACGTGATCCCGCGCCGCCCAATCAGCGGCAGGCACCGCCGGCAGGGCGGGAAAGGGAGGTGTCACGTGCCCCCATCAGCCAATCAGCGGCGGCGGCGGAGAGGGGGAGGTGTCACGTGTGCCTCGCGGCAGCCAATGGGCGGCGGGTGGCGGCGGCGCCAAGATGGCGGACGATAAGGTGAGCGGGGTGGACCGGGGCTGAGGGGCCGCGGGGCTTCCTCCGGCAGGGCCAGGAATCATCTCTGTGTCTCCCGCAGGACTCGCTGCCCAAGCTCAAGGACCTCGCCTTCCTCAAGGGGCAGCTAGAGAGCCTGCAGCGCAGGGTGGAGGACGAGGTGCAGGCCGGCGTGGGGCAGGTAACGCGCGGGTTCGCGGCGCTCCCTCTGAGGGGGCGAAAACAAACCCTGGGGAAAAACAACTCGCCCTGTGTCTCCCCCGCCATCTCGCCTCACTGTGCCTTCCCCCCCCGCAGGACGGATCCCTGCTGGCATCGCCCTTCCTCAAAGGCTTCCTAGCGGGGTACGTGGTGGCCAAGCTCCGGTTTTCTGCCGTCCTGGGTTTCGTGGCCGGCACCTGCACCGGGATTTACGCCGCCCAGAACTACGCCGTGCCCAACGTCGAGAAGACGATTCGGGACTATATGAACGCGCTGAAAAAAGGTCGGGACTAGCGCGGAGGAGCCCGGAGGCAGCAGGGACTGCGGGAACGGTGCTCCTCGGGCAGCGGGCACAGAGCAGACCCGGGGCTCCCGGAGGCACGTCACCCGCACCCTTCTTTTCCCTGGAAAAGGGCTTTGCACCGCAGCACTGCGGCACTCAGGGGCTGTGATGGGTGTGCACGGGGCATCACGGCGGTGGTGAGCACTCTACTAACCCACAAGGGGGCACCGAGGGGCTGCCAGCTGCCTTTTCCCCTCACCCTCACCTCCCCCGTGTGGACTGAGGGGCTGCTGTGCCCTGCCACCTGCTGTGCCCTGCCACCTGCTGTGCCCTGCCACCCACGCTGGGCCCTGGGAACGTCCTCTGTGTGGCTCCCCAGAAAGGCTTTGTAGTTCTCCTAAGGAGAGGCAGCGCCCAGGTCTCCTCCTGCACCACAAATGTAGCAGGGAACATCCTGCTTGAGTCAGGCTCATTAAATCCTTGGTTATTTGGTCTCTTCTTCGGTGTTGCAGGGTGACAGTCTTGTCTGGCCTGTCTGCACTGACAGCTGGAAATGGGAATGCTTGGGAATGCTGCCGAGGGGCCGCTCCGGAGGGGGCTGTGGGCGCTGATGCTGCTGCTGTCTGTGGCCATCTACGGCTCCCACGCCCCCCTCCTGACCCTGTGCAAGGTGGACGGGGCCATCCCCTTCAGCTCCACGTCGGTGGTGGTGCTGGTGGAGCTCACCAAGCTGGCACTGTCCCTGCTGTCCCTGCTGGGGGAGCCGCCGGTGCCCGCCGCGTCCTGGCATCACGCCGCGCCCTTCGCCCTCTCGGCCCTGCTCTACGCCGCCAACAACAACCTGGTGGTGCACATGCAGCTCTTCATGGACCCCAGCACCTTCCAGGTGCTCAGCAACCTGAAGATCCTGAGCACGGCGCTGCTCCACAGCCTCCTGCTGCGCCGGCGCCTGGGGCCGCGCCGCTGGCTGGCCCTGCTGCTGCTGCTGGGGGCCGGGGTGTGCTACAGCTGGGGGGGGCTCCGGGGGCACGGCGTTCCCGGCGGGATGCGCCTGCACGTCACGCCCGTGGGGCTGGTGCTGCTCTGCGTGTACTGCCTCATATCAGGCCTGTCTGCTGTCTACACTGAAGCCATCCTGAAGGCGCAGCCGCTGCCCCTCAGCCTCCAGAACGTCTTCCTCTACTTCTTCGGGGTCCTGCTCAACCTGGCAGGCTCCCTGTGGAGCGGAGCTGAGGGCGGGTTCCTGCGGGGCTTCTCCCCGTGGGTGCTGCTGGTGGTGCTCGGCCAGGCCCTCAACGGCCTCATCATGTCGGTGGTGATGAAGCACAGCAGCAACATCACCAGGCTCTTCATCATCTCCTGCTCCATCCTGGTCAATGCCCTGCTCTCCGTCGCCCTGTTTGACCTGCAGCTCACTCTGCTCTTCTTCGTGGCCGTGGCGTGCATCGGCCTCGCTGTGCACCTCTATTATGGAGTCACGTAGCCACTGCCTCCCTCCCGCGTGTCCAGGCAGCCCCAACCCTTCCTCAGGGCTGGGATTGTTGCTGCTGGGCGCCTGCACAGCTCCAAGGACCCCTGGACAAGGAGTGCTCTGTCCCTGCTTCCAGGGGGAAGCTGGGCCCTGCTCCAGCCCAGCCAAGCTCAGTGCCACGGGGTTCCCATGGGATCAGGTGTGCCCAGCCTCAGGGTGGGTCCTGAGCCCTGTGTGGGTGCCTCATAGTTTCAGGCTGGGCCAGGGGAGGTTTAGGTTGGCCCAGGGAAGTGGTGGAGTCCCCATTTCTGGAGGTGTCCAAGAAATGACTGGATGTGACACTCGGTGCTCTGGTCTGGTTGACAAGGTGGTGGTCAGTCACAGGTTAGACTCTATGATCTTGGAGGTCTTTTCCAACCTCAGTGATTCTGGGATTCTGTGTCCCATGTCCTCAAGCTGCTTCTCCACACCACAGTGGCCTGGGAGTGATTGGCTCTGCCAGCACACTCTACCAGCCCAGAGTGGCACTGGTGCCATTTTGGCTCCCATGGATGCTGCTTCCCCCCTCCCCATTCCTGGTGCTGCTTCCTGGGGCCTCTCCCACTTCCACAGTTTTCCAGCCCAGCTCCTGGCTGAAGCCCTGCTGTCCTCAGGTCCCGCTTCCCCTCCTTGGGCACAGTGTCTGTGTGGAACAGACAGGGAAGGGGACATGTGGGAACTGTTTCACCTGCTCCCAAAAGGGAGACACCTGGATTTGTACGGAATTCTTGGCAGGCAGAACACACCCGGGGTATTAAAGCTGCAATTCAACAGCATCTGTGTGTCTGTCCCTTGTGTCTGTCCTGTGTCTGCCCTCCCTGCAGGAAGGGGTCTGTGTCCCTTGGGAGAGGTTTGGGGGCTGGAGGTGTGTCCAAGCCTGGTGACAGTCATGGGTGAGGGGCACCTGCTTTATTCCACATGGTCCCAGCTGGGGGTTGCCAGTCAAGTGCCTGGCACAGAGCAGTTTTCCCTCCCTGGGGCACGTTTCCTCAGAGAGCAGCAGCTGGAGGGGAGGGGCAAGAGGGGAGGTTGTGCCCGGGGTAACCGCTGGGGCTGGTGACCCTCGTGCTGCCAGGCCAGCTGTCCCCACGCCCTGGGAGGTGGCTCAGGGGGTCTGTGTGGTGGCATCCGCCAGGCACCGCTGTCTGGCCTCCCGCGGGTGCCGGCTGTGCTCGGCGAGCTCCAGGGTGTCCCGGAGCAGCTCCTGCAGCAGCGCCCGGTGCCGGCGCTCCAGCGCCTCCCGCTGCTCCCCCGCCAGGCGCCGCTGGTCCCGCAGCACCTGCGGGATGCCCGGGCTGTCTGGCACGGCCCTGGCATCGCCGGGAGATGAGTGCCCAGCCCTCCCTGCTCACCTGCAGCAGGTGCTGCCTGCAGCCCTGCAGCTCCCGCTGGTGATTCCGCAGCAGGGCCTCCAGGTCCCACTCGGCCGCCTCCCGCTCCCGCAGCGCTGCCTCCAGGCTCAGCCCCAGCACGGCCACCTCCTGCTGCCAGCGCGCTGTGTCCCACTGCAGGGGACAGGGACAAGGGCAGGGCAGCTCTGGGGTGTCCCTGCTCCCTGGGGCTGCCCTCGGGAGAGCGGCACCAGGGCAGGAGACCCGAGGGCAGGGTGTTGGGGTGTGGCTGTGCCCACCTCCCCGCTGTGCTCCTGGGCTGGCCCGACCCCGGCCCCAAGCTCCTGCTGGAGGTGCCGGCAGTGCCGAGCCCGCAGCCGCTGCCGCTCTGCCCTGGCCAGGGCATGCTGGACCTCCAGGGATGGGCATGGCTGGCACTGGCTTCCTACCTGGCACAGAGTGGAGCGGGCTGGGATGGCACCGGAATCCAGTGCTGCCAGTGCGGAGCACTGTGGGCACTGCACAGGGGCCCCATGAGCTCCCACTCACCGTGTCACCCCCAGGCCGTGGCCGTGGCTGTGGCATTTCACTCTGGGACAGTTCCTCCAGCAGCTCCTGCCCTGCACTGGCTGGAGCTCTGCTGTCCCCTCCCTGGCTGCTCCTGCTGTCACCCTGTCCTGCATGGGCACAGGGGAGGAGGATGAGTGTGATGTGGAGGCTGAAGAAAGCCATTCAAATGGAGGAGGGAGGCCTTTCCCACCCTGTAGAGCCATGCTCCGTGCCCACATATCCGCCACCCAGGTGTGGGATGCGTGTCTGGCCCCGTGCTCCAGACCTTCTGGCTCCAGGGTGACACTGGTCTGGGACCCAGGCTGGCCTGGTGCTGTATTCCCTGCAGAGACCTGGTCCTGTGGGAGCAGGACAAGATGTTACAGGGACACAACCATGACTCAGGGTTTCTCCTGCACCTGGGCTGTCCCCGGGTGAGGGGGCCTGGCCTGATCTCTGCCCACCTTGGCACTGGGCTGATGCATCTCACTTGACCGGAGCACCTCAGCCACCGCCTGCTTCTTCTCCCACCTTTGACTCTTCAGCACCTGGAAAAGGGGGCTGGGGGTCCTTGCTGGGATGCTGCAGACCTCCAGGCCTGGCACAGCTCCTGGGACACATCCCACCCCTCCATCTCACCTCCTGGGCAGCCCCAGCCCCTGCTCTCAGTGCCTGACAAGGGCCTTGGCACCAGGATGAAGCCCAGACCTCACCCGAGCAGGAATCGGTGCCATCCTGGTCCCACATGGATCCAGGGGTGTTCCCCCACCTGCAGCTCCCTCAGGGCTCTCCGCAGCTGGGCCACAGCTGTCCTCTGCTCTGGGAGGGCAGTTCCAGCCAGGAGCTCCATCCGCAGCCCTCGGATCTCCCTCCGGCGCGCCGTGATCTCCTCTGCAGGGTCCCAGAGTGTGGCGGAGATGGTCTTGGCCAGCCCCTTCACCCTCTCAGCCAGCCCCAGGGCTCCCAGGATCTCCTCCCTGGAGGTGTCTGGGAGAGCAGCAAGCCCTGGGTAGGGGCCATGGGGGACACCAGCACGGGAGGTTCTGGTACAATGGGGATGAGTGGAGCCGGTGTCCAGCTTCCAATGACCACCAGGTGTTCCTGAGACCGAGTGCCAGGCATGGGGCGGGATGGGGGGAAACATCAGGGAGGGGGCACCCCGAAGTGTGTCCCTGTCCCAGGGGCTACCTGGCAGTGACACACACAGCAGCAGGAACGTCAGGCTGTTCCCCTCCAGCAGCCGCTCCACAATCCAGGGCTGGCAGCCTGTGTCAGGTTCCCTGCACGTGGGGTGAGAGACACCCTGGGATGGCACTGGCATCCATGTGCCAGGCAGGCTGAGCCCCAACCCACAGGAGCCCAAGGATGGGTTGGTCACAGTGGGAGGGAGCCCACATCCCCAAGGGGAGGTGACAACCCCTTTGGCTCCCAGCCATGGGCTCCCTCTGGGGTGTCGGAGTCTCTCCTGCTTCACCTCGAGGTATGGAATCCCCGCAGCTCACAGCAGGCACACGGGGAGCTGGAGGGGGACACGGCTCAGTCCCGGTACGTACAGCCTGGGGCAGGGCCCCGTGGCCCCTGGGGACACCAGGATCCTGAGGGCCGAGCGCTGGCACCTGCCAGCCTCCAGCTCCCGCTCCACGGTGAGAGTGAAGAGGCTGCCGGCCCTGGGGAGAGGCCAGTGTGGGAGCAGAGCTTCCAGAGCCACCCCAGCACCCCACGGCCCAATCCTTCCCTGCCAAATCCCTCACCCCTGCACTGAGCGCCCGTCTGCGAGGGGCTGCCGTGCACACCCCTGGAACAGCGCTGGGATGGCAGCCAGCCCCCTGGCATAGGCACTGATGGCAGCTTGGGCATCGGGCACGGCGATTTCCGTGGCCTCCTCCACCATCCTGGAAGCAGAGGGGGACAATAGTGAGCGAGGAGGGCCATGTCCACCCACCCCCTGCATGCCCTGGGGGATATGTGCTCCCTGGGCACCGTGTTCCCTGCCCAGCCCCACCCATTGAGGTTCCAGCCCCACCCATTGGGGTTCCAGCTCTCCAGGAGTACCTGCCCAGCCACAGGGCATCAGGTACCTACAGGCCCAGGGGTGTGACATCCATCACTTGCAGGGCTCGGCCATCAGGACGGAGCAGGTCCCAGGCTTTGTCGTGGGTGCTGACCTGGAAAGGGGAGCTGTGTAGGGCAGGGGGGCAGGAAAAGGGGGCTGCTGGCATCCTGCACTCCCCAGGGGCCTGGGCTGCTCATGGCTGTGCACAGGTGAGGGCTGAGAAGGGCTGATCTTGTGGTCACTCTCAGCTTCTCTGTCCCTGGGGCCAGGGAAGGGCAGAGCCCTGGGAACGCCCTGTGTGGAGCTTGGCAGGTCCCTGGCAGCATCCCAGAGCCAAAGGGCAGGTCCCAGCAGGGTGGCAGGAGCTGGCATCACTGCTGTGCCAATCAAAGTCACACAGAGGGACCTTCAGGCCACAGGGATCAGTGACTGGCAGAAAAACCTCAGCCATGAGATGGGCAGGAAGGGGTTTGAGGGCTCCCCTTATCCCACTAGGCTGCTGGAGCCTGGGAGACACTCCATGGGCAGTCAAGGCTTCCCACACCTAGCAGGTCCTGGAAAGAGGTGAGAAAACCTGGGATCCAAAGATCTCCAGCTCCTGGTCACCCTCAGGATGAAGGTACTGGATGTATGTAATAAATACTATAATATATAATATATATAATGTAATACATGCCCTTGGCACAGCAGGGTCTGGGCAGCGGCAGAGAGCAAATTGGACCCTCATTCCATGACATCCTACCTTGCTCCTGCCATACCTGGACCAGGCTGACTGTCTGCAGGCTCTGTGTGTCATCCCCCAAGGCCTCCAGTTCTTGGAAGATGGTGTCAATCACCTGGGGACAAGCCGGGAGCTGTTGGTCTTACACCAGGCAGGATCGGGGCCTGTTGGGTGATCCAGGAGCCCAGCACAGCTGTGCTGTCACCCCTCCCTGTCACCTCTCCCCTGGGCCCTCACCTGCCAGAGGACACTCTGGAAGGGCAGCTGTGTCCCAGGGCCGTGGGGGTCCCACAACAGCAGGGACACGCTGTAGCCAAGGGGAACCAGGGCCAGCTGCGGTCTTGCCAACTCCAGGACCTTCTCCTGGTAGGAGGGACGTATCCAGCAGAGCAGGGATGGCATGGCACAGAGGGCATTGGCATGGATCAGGGCAGGGCAACACATGATGTGGCACAGGTATCCCAGCACAGGTATCCCAGTATGGATGGCATGGCGTGGATGCACAGCATGGCATGGATGGCATGGCATGGCACCACACCAAGAGGGAACAGGGAAAGGATGAGAAACACCCACAGAGCCCCCCATGGGACCAAGCCCCATGTCCCAGCAGTGCCTGTGACCTCTGAGGAGGAGGGAGTGCCGCTGGGTGTCCCAGCCCATGGCTTGGGCCAGCATGTCCCTGGCACAGAAGGACTTGGGGCTCACAGTACCTGTCCTGCATCCAGGCGGAAAACACCATCGACAGCCAAGCTGCTCTCCTGGCACAAGGGATAATGTTCAGCTTTCCCCCATCCCAGCACGACCAGTGCAAGGTAAAGGAGGAACTGGGCACACTGGGATGGAGATGGCAGGTGTGGGACAGAGGGCCTGGCTCGGGCAGGGATGAGGGGAGACCCCCTCCCTTCCCCTGCTGTGTGGGAACCCCCAGGAGCCCTCAGGGGTGTAAGGCAGGACCAGCCCAAGACCTCAGCACCCTGCAGGGTCCCAGGAGTAGCAGGTGGTGGGACAGAGCCCTCTGCTCCCACCTGGTCCCCCAGATCCCCTCAGACCCTGGATGTCCCTGTACCTGGGGCACGTCCCTGTCCCTCCCACTCTCACCTGGGGCTCCTTCCCAGCGAAGAGGAGCTGCAGGGTGTCCTCCATGCCATCTGCCCAGCTCTCCCCCGGCCCTGAAAACACTGAGTGTGGGGTAGGGTGGGCGTTACCCCCACCTGCCCCTGCTAAGTCCTGCTCTCCTTGCAGCCTGGGGGCTTCACATCATTCCTGAGCTCTCCCACTATGGCTCAGAGCCACCAGGGTGGGGAGGACACTCCCTTCCCATCAGCCCAGGCCAGGCCCACCAGCATGGCCAGTGGTCCCAGTGCCACCACGGCTGTGGCTGCCACCCTGGTCCCCTGTTCTCTGCTGTAGGGGTTCAGGTGAAGGATCTGGGATGTCCTGAGCTCTACCTGCTGCCTGGTGGAGCCCCACGGCTGCTCGCACGCTGACATCCTGCTTGGCCTGCTGGGATAGAGGGGAATGATCCAGGGATGGAGGGGGAATGATCCAGGTCCTGCCCCACGCACTCAGCACCCACCAGGAGCTGGATGAGCCCCTGGGAGCTGAGCAGCCCCTGGCCACACCACACCAAAATCAGGGGACAGATCGCTCCAAACTGCCCTGGGATGTCCCCCACCATGGCACTCACCTCCCCGGTGTCCATGGGCACCTCAGCAGGAGCAGCAGCAGCTGCTGTTTTGGCCAGGGGATGGAGTTACACAGGGTGATATCCTGTTCTCTTGCATTATTGATGGGAGTCAGGTACAGCCATGTGGGCAGAGCCAGGCCCAGCCTGGAGGCACCGTGTTCCAGAGGCTGAGCCCTGCTGGCCAAGGGATCAGCAGGACCACGGGAGGCAAGTGGGTGCCTGGAGCCACTCACACCATTGGTGTGCTCCTGACTCCAAGAGGGACATCTCTGCAAGTCATGGATGGGAGATGAGGGACCTTGGGCTGTCATGAAGGTTTTCTAGGCACAGAAAGTGACCACAAACCACAGAAACACATTTACTGGAGATGAGTAAAAGCAAGAGAGCACAAAAGGAAACATCAAAGCTGAGGGTCTCCGTGGTCTGTGGAAACACAGATGGGGGGAGACAGGAGAGAGGTCCCAGGACATCCCCACCCCTCCTTTTGGACAGGACCAGGCACGATGAGGAGATGCACATGGATCCCTCCATTCACCACCATTCCCTGTGCAGAAGAAGACCAGAGCCCTGCCGCCCCAAAACCCCCCTCACCTGTGCCTCAGGCGTGAGGGTGATGCCAGGTGGACACAGATGGAACAGGCAGCACTGGGAGCTCCATCAGGAGCAGTGCTGGGGGCATGTTGGGACTTGGGCAGTTGGAGTTGGCCCCAGGGAAAACCTCCTTGGGAGGGTGCAGCCCTGGGACAGAGCATGGCATGGGGCTTTGAGGGGTTCCCCAGAACTTGGCTGGGCAAAGCCACAGCAGGATAATACTGTGGGTGCCTGGACCCCAGGCCCTGTTCAGCCACTCTCCTGCTCTAGCCTTGGATCTTCCCACATTCTGGTTTCCCCCCATTCCCAGCCAGCCCAGCCCATGTTTGCTCACAGGTCCCATGTACCTGTGCCCAAACAGAACAGAGAGGGAAGGACACAGAAAATACCCAGGAACTTTACCCCAGAAAATAGCCAGGACCTTAATGAGAAGGCAGGACAGGTCAAGGGGATGAAGAGCAGGGCTTGGCCAGGTGAGCCCTGCCAACCTGCAACCAGCCCCTTCTTTTAACAAGGGCCTGGAGGAACATGACAAGGGGGAATGGCTTCACACTGCCAGAGGGCAGGGTTAGATGGGATATTGGGAAGGAATTCTTCCCTATGAGGGTGGTGAGGTCCTGGCACAGGTTGTCCAGAGAAACTGTGGCTGCCCCATCTCTGAAAGTGTCCAAGGCCAGGTAAGAGGGGGCTTGGAGCAACCTGGGCTAGTGGAAGGTGTCCCTGCCCACAGCAGGGGGTTGAATGAGATGAGCTTTAAGATCCCTTCCAACCCAAACCATCCTGTGATTCTATGATTCCCCCAATCCCCATTTTCCCATGCCTTTCCCTTCCCCAGTCAACCCCTCCTTTTGTTCCTTCCCATAAGCATTCCCCATTGTCCTGCATTCCTCTGCTCTCCCTCAGCACCCCATAATCAATTTTCTCTTTACTACGAGATATTCTCTGCATAACCCAGAACAAACCCATTTTCCTCTTTTCACAAAAAGTTTCTGGTTCAACGTCTCCAAGGTCACACCAGAGGGACGTGTCCATCCATGCCTCCAGAGCTGGGGTCTTGGCTGCTCCTCCTCATTGGCATTTGTGTGTGTGGGCGTTTAATTTAGTCAGTTTTTTTCTTTGTGGGTTTTCTCCTGTGCTGAAGAGCAGCAAAGCAGCATCCTCACAAGCCAAACATCCTGGCCCAGGCACAGCCCCAGGTGAGGAGATGGAGGACCAGCAGAGGGGCCACAGAGGCTCCAAGGATGGCTGGATGGGGTATTACAAGGTGTTGTGGGGGTCTGGGCAGGGAACACCAGACCCCAGAGAGTTTTGGGGCATCTGAGTGCCGCCAGTGGGAATACAATGGAGCTGAATTCTTCTTATCCGGGGCAGGTGGCATCACAGGGGCAATGGGGACATGTTTGGGCATAGGGAGCTGGAGGTGGCCACAAGGGAGGGTACAGCCCTGGGACAGAGCATGGCACGGGGCTTTGAGTGAGGGGTGCCCCAAAACCTGGCTGGGCAAAGGCACAGCGGGATAACATTCCACAGGGCAGCCCTGGCTGGGGACACCGAGAGAGCCCCTCACTCGGGGGGCCTGTGAGCCTTCCCTTGGAGCTCCTGTTGGGAAGCACTGCTGGGAAGGCTCCGACATCTCACCCTGTGGCAGGGCCTGACCCTGAGCAGGCAGAGGGCCCCTGCCAGGCCCAGCAGGGCCAGGGCCACGCAGAGCGGGGCGACCACGGCGGCGCGGCGACACCGCAGCACCGACACCGGCACGGCCACCACCTGCCAGCCCTGGTAGCCCGGCGGGGACTGGCACGTGTAGTCCTGTGGCCAGCCCTGCCCCAGGTGCCCCGTGGCTGCCAGTGCCTGCAGCCCCCCAGCCCCGGAGCACGAGCAGCTGAAGGGGTTGTTGGCCGCAGTCACGTTCTGCAGACGCCCCAGGAGCGTCACCTCATCCCACGGCAGCTCTGTGATGGAATTGTTGTCCAGGTGGAGGGTGTCCAGCACGGGGTAATTCCTGAGGGAGGGGACGGCCTGCAACAGGTTTTGGCTCAGGAAGAGCTTCTTCAGGGAGCTGAGGGAGATGTCCACGGCATGGAGGTGGTTGTGGCTCATGTCCAGCACCTCCAGGTTGGGAGGCAGAGGTGTCAGCACTTCCTCCAAGCCAGTGTGGGACAGGTTAAAGATCCGGAGGGATGCTGGCCACTGGCAGGAGGAGGATGGGTCTGCCATGAGCTTGTTCTGGCTGAGATTGAGGTTCTGGAGCCCCTGCAGTAGCTGCACCCCCTCACACACACTGTGGTAGGACGTCAGGTTGTTGTGCTGCAGACTCAGCACCTGGAGCTGAGGGAAAGCTCCCTGGCAGAAGGCAGGTGTCAGGCTCTCATCCCCGAGGCTGTTTTGTGCCAGGTCCAGGGTGTGCAGAGCTCTGAACACCTTTCCAATGGCACAGGGCAGGCTGGTAACACTGGAGCTGGTGACAGCCAGCTCCTGCAGCGTCTCCAGCCACGTGCTCAGGCTGGAGAAGGCCTGTTCATTGCCCATCAGCGGGGCAGATGTCACGTTGTTGAAGCTCAGGGACAATATGGGCAAGCTCTGGCCGTCCATTTCATGCCAGTCACCTGTGCCCTGGAAAACACAGCTGTCAAACACCAGCTCCTTCACGTGGGTGTAGGAGAAGAACCTCAGCACGCGGGCCAGGAGGATCTCAGGCACCAGCACATCAGCAATAATTACTTTCTGGATGATAAGGGAGCCCAGAGTCTCAATGGCAGAGTCGTCCAGGTCCCTGATGGGGAAGGCTATGTATTTCTCCACATCTCCCCCCCGAAACTCCACCACAGTTGCAGCGAGGCACTGGATAAGGCTGCCCGCAGTCTCCTCGGACAGGTTGTAGCACACACAGCGCTCCTGAGTGCGGTTGAAGTAACATCTGTTTCTTCTGCCTTCTGCCCCCAACAGCCCCAGCCCCAGGAGGAGCAGAACAGCCACAGTCATGGTGAACAACCTGAAGACGAGGGGGAATGGTGAACAGCAGGTGAGGGGACTTGCGGGACTTCCATCCTGGCTTGGGCAGATTCTGCCCTGCAGAGCCACCCCTTGGGGACATGGCACTGCCCTCATTGCTCCTGCACACCCCATGGGCACCCACCTGGCTACCGAGGGCTACCTGACTGGCTATGTGACTCAGGGCAACACTCAGACCAGCAGCCAACACCCAGGAGCTACACCCGTGCCACCCTCTCTGTGGCAGGGAGTCGGTGGCACTGGTCCCATCCCACCCCAAAAGCAGGGTAGCTCCTGAGGCTCTGCACTGTCCTGCCTGGGCTGCCTTGCTGCAGGCTCCTGCTCCTAAGTGACCAGAAATGCCATGGAATGGGGAGAAACTAGAAATGCCGAGTTACGGACAGGGAAGCCAGATATGTCAGTCTGACCATGGGATGGGAGAGCCCCAGCTCTGCTTGTTCCTGTCTAATCTGGGGCAGGAAATTGCAACAGAGGGCTTCATGGTTTCCCTCTTTTCACCCAGTGATTTGATCATCACCAGCCCCCAAAGAGATGGTGGAAAATGACCTCTGAGGGTCCCTGTAGGTCCCTGTCAGCACCAGGCACTGCTGACAGGAGATTCTGGTCACCAGATTGCAAAAAAAGCAGCAAGCAAAGATTAAAGGCTCCTGAAAATGTGCTGACTCAGCTGTGTAGTCGTGGGGGGTCTTTGGGGGTCCCCAGTACAGCCTCCTGCTTCTAGCAGGTCTGTGCCGGCACCAGCCCCGATCAGCCACAGCTTTTTTTGGCCACATCCCAAAATCCTCCAAGGATGGATCCCTCCCTACCTCTCTGTGTTGCGGGGCTGCACCACCCTCCCGGGGAGAAAATCTCCTCCAGCACCTGCACCAAGCCCCCCTCACTTTGGGGGGCAGCGGGATCGAGGGTGAGTTTGTCCAGTGACTCACCAGCCGGCTCAGAAACGTTTCCTTCCCTCACGTCTGCTTCCTCTAACCGCTGCCAAATCCAGGGCTGAGGTGCCAGACACTCCAAGTTCTCAGCTCTCTCCGGCACCTGATCTTCCCCTGCCTCGGGCCGGATGAGCCCCCGGTGCCCGCGGGGGTGTTCCAGCCGCCGATGGCGCTCCCGCAGCCCGCGGTTGGACCCACGCGGTCGGGACTGACAAACACCCCGGGGCTGGGTCCCGGGCACTGCCCCTGCGCCCTCGGCGTGACTTCCTGACAGGGCAGCGCCAGACGGGCCACGGGAAGCAATGCGCCGTGAGGCAGCCGCCCAAATCACCTCGGCTTCGCTGCCCCGCGGCCGCGGGTTGGGCAGGGCTGTGCTCCGAGTGCCAGCGCTGTTCACTTTCCTAGCAAGGGGCACGGAGCAGAGTGTGGTCAGCATTCCTGAAAGACAGTCTCAGGACCAGCCCTTTCCTTCCAGATGCTCTGGGATCGCTGTGCCTCAGAGCCCACTGGCAGTGAAGAAGGGTACAGGACTGTCATAGCTGGCATCCAGACCATCCCCAGGGTTGTTCCATGTAGGATGGGGATGGGACCAGCTCCATGCTGTACAGGACACTCCCTCACCCAAGACAAGCTGGCAACTTGGCCAGGGAACTTGTATCACTTGCCCTGTGCTCTTCTGGCAGCTGGTGGCTGTGCCTGCTCCAAGGGGTTAAGACTGAAGACCACCAGGCATTTGGAAAGATCCAGGAGTGTTCAAGACACAACTGGATGTGGCACTCAGTGCTCTGGTCTGATTGAGAAGGTGGTGATTGGTGAAAGGTTGGACTCGATGATCTTGGAGTTCTTTTCCAACCTCAGTGATTCTGGGATTCTGTGATCTCTCAGGAATTTTTTCTTTCCCAGGGATTTCTCTGCCTGTGTTGGATTCAGAAAGGGCTTCAGGAAGGTAACAAAACTGCATGGTTGGACGCTGCCATTCCCAGTTTGTTGTTGGTAATGTGGCATAACACATTAGTGCCGCAACAGTTGGGGCTGGAGCTGCCTGTCCCACGCTCTCTGGCACTCCTGTGCAGAGGGATTCAGCAATTCCATGATTCCTCTTCTCCGTCCTTGGGTTCCATGAAAATCCTCCACACAGGAAGGATGTGGAGCTGCTGGAGCGAGTCCAGAGGAGACCACGGAGATGCTCCAAGGGCTGGAGCCCCTCTGCTCTGGAGCCAGGCTGGGAGAGCTGGGGGTGTTCACCTGAGCAAGAGAAGGTTCCAGGGAGACCTTAGAGCCCCTTCTGGTGCCTCAAGGAGCTCCAGGGGAGCTGGAGAGGGACTGTGGACAAGGGATGGAGGGACAGGACAAGGGGAAATGGCTTCCCATCGACAGAGGGCAGAGTTAGATGGGATATTGGGAAGGAATTCCTGGCTATGAGAGTGGCGAGGTCCTGGCACAGGTTGCCCAGAGAAGCTGTGTCTGCCCCATCCCTGGAAGTGTCCAAGGCCAGGCTGGACGGGGCTTGGAGCAGCCTGGGATAGTGAAAGGTGTCCCTGCCCATGGCAGGGGGTGGCATGAGATGAGCTTTAATGTCCCTTTTATCCCAAACCATTGTGTTATTCCATCAAACTGCTGCTGTGTGCGCCGTGGAAAAATCACTGCTGCCCTCTGAGCTCCCTTCACTGCCCCTTTTGGCAGCTCTGTCAGCTCTGGCCGGGGCTGGTACCTTTAATTTCTGGCCATCAGCTGCAAATTCCCCAAACGTCTTCCTGAGGAAGCACGAGCTCCTCTACCCCTCGGCCACCACCACCACCACGGTGGAAGATTCCAGGGCCCCGAGACGCGTTAGTTCGCATTTCTGGTGAATCTTTGGGCTTTTTTTGGCCTCAGCACAGACATCCCACCCAGCAACACACAGCTCCCCGTGCCCGGGGCGGGCTGGGGGGCCGGGTTCCGCATCTCCCCGCCCCCGGACCGCCCCGGGCCTTTTCCTCCTGCTCCTCCTCCTGCTCCTCCTCCTTCTCCTCCTCCTTCCCGATGTGGGGCCGGCGGCGGGGCCGGCGCGGCGCCGGGCGCGGTGCGGAGGAGCTGCGGGCCCGGCGGCGGGAGCGAGAGGCAGGTCAGGGAGGGTTTGTGGGTTCCCACGTGGGTGGGAGGGACGCCCCAGCTCAGCCTTGTCCCCTTAGACCCTCCCGCTCCGTCCGGCCGCGCATCCCGCGGTGCGCGCAGTGATGGCACCGCTGGGTCCTGCCCGCTCGGGGAAGCGTTTTACAGCTTAAAAATTTATTCCCGCCAACAATTCCCCATTTCTTCAGCCATCCTGCCGCGGTTTGGGTTTTCCGAGATCCCGCCCGTGTCTCAGACGGGATAAAAGGAGGCTCAGGGGGGACCTTCTCGCTCTCTACAACTCCCTGACGGGAGGGTGGAACCGGACGGGGGTCTGGTCCCAGGGAACGAGCGACGGGACAAGACAAGAGAAAACGGCCTCAAATTACACCAGAGGGTGTTTTGGTTGGGTATTAGGGAAAATTTCATCACCGAAAGGGTGGTCAGGCATTGGAAGGGGCTGCCCAGGGCAGTGGTGGAGTCACCATGCCTGGACTTGTTCTCAAAAAACAAGTAGACATGGTCCTTGGGCCGTGTTCAGCTGCTGGGTATTCAGCTGGAATACCGGGTGGTATTCAGCTGGAGGCTGAACTTGACGATCTTGCAGGTCTTTTCCAACCTTACTGGTTCTATGATCCTTCGTAAAAGCAGCCTCGGGTCCCTGCTGCTGGTCCTTGCAGCTTTGTCCCGCACCTGTCCTGCCCATTATCCCAGCTGTGGATTCGCACATCCCTCCCAGGCCTGCACAGAGAGGAACAGACAGTTTCTCCCTGGGTTAAAGGAGGAATAAGGGGCTCTTGGGCGGGATGGAAAAGCATCCTGCCCTAGGTGGGTGGTGACGGGTCCTGATCCGATTGCAGCTCTCAGGAAAGCCCGGCGGGAGGAGCAGTTGGTCAGCAAGCGGCTTCTGCGGGAGGACAGCGCGGCAGAGGAGGGGGGACAGGATGGAGCAGACGCCGTGCCGGACCCACTCTCAGAGGATGAGGTGAAGAACATGACGTTCTCTGTGGTGATGGGGGTCTCAGGGGTCTTCCCCAGCCTCAGCAGGTGAAGGAGGCTGGGCAGGGGTGGCTTTGGGAATGTTTCTGAGTCGCTGCCAGACACAGTAAGGTTCTCTGTGCCCATCTTTATGCCCTGGGTTCCTTTGCCTCCAGGATTAATGAGATGAAATCTTAATGCTGGTACTGCTGGAAGCTCACCTATGTTTTGATTCTGTGGCCAGGTCCTCGAGCTGCTTAGAGCCGTGCAGAGGGGCTCGGAGGACAGGAAGGGATCGCTCGGCCGCCTCCGCCGGGCTCTGCAGAACGAGGAGACTCAGCAGAAGTTTGTCAGGTCAGCCCGGCTCTGGTGTGGCTGTTACCACGTCCCGAGGGGCCCTTTGTCCTGGTGGCTGGGTGGGTGAGAGCAGGGTGGGAGGTGACAGCAGCCTTTGGGTCCCACCAGGCTGGACGGCAGCATCCGGACGCTGACGGGGCTGTTCACCAGCAGCTTGGCCGACATGCAGCTGGAGGCAGCCCGATGTCTGCACGAGCTGTCCCACTCCAGTGACCCCACTGTGGCTGAGGCCTGTCTGCCCGTGACCTCCTACCTCCTCACGTACCTGTCGGGACACAGCGTGGAGTTCACGGTGAGATCCGTGTTTTGGCACCAGAGGATCCTTTGGTAACAGGTGGTATTGACCTCTCTTGGCCAAACCTGGCTCACATGGGAGTGCTGGTGGGAAGGGGCCTTCTGGAAAGCCTCTGGTCCAACATTCCCCTTGGAGCAGAACTGTTCCCAGTGCCCAAGTGTTACAATCCACTCCTGAAGGTGTGGTAACTGAGGTTCTTGTTAATGATAGACCCCTTGGGTGGAATTAGAGTGAAACGACACTGAATGACTGGGGTTTGTTTATATATATATATATATATATATACATGGCAGGTTTATTTTAGAACAATTTGAGGGCAATGCAAAGGAGGTATGTAGATGTTTTGGTTATTAGCTATACAAATATAACAATATAAAAGCATAAAGATATCACTTAAGAAAATATATAAGGAAAAGAAAATAAAAATAAGAGTAGATAGGGGAGAGGAAAGATGTCACCCCCAGTGGATCCAGTGACGAGACTTGACTGTTGCAATTTCAATGCCCTCCAAAGTGGAAGTGATCAGATCCCAACCTGAGCCAGACAGAAAAAGAACCAACTGAAGCTGACACAGCTGGGAATGGGGTGGCTGGAGAGTCCAGCAGTATCTGTGTGTCTGAATTCAGCTCTGCCCTCCTCGGAGGAGGGTGTGGGACCTGAGCCTTGCTGGCTGCCCAGGGGAGCATAGACAGGGTCACTGCTCTGGTGTGTTGCAGGAGCTGTGTTTGTACACACTGGGGAACCTCGTAGTAGAAAGTGAAGCTGTGAGGAAGCAACTTCTGCCTCAGGGCATCATTCCGGTGCTGGCATCCTGCATCCAGGTGGGTGAAACAGCTCAGCCACACTTCTCCTGCCCTGCCCTAGAGAGACTTCTCTGGCTGACAGCCCCGAGTGAGCAGCCCTCTTACCAGCCCTGGCGGTGGGCACAGACCCCTCTGCAGGAAGCTGTTCCCTCGAGTGTGAGAGTCACTCCTGGGCTCTCCTGCACTCCATTTTTGGGGCTCAGCTCAACTCCTTGTGCTCCTCTCCAGCTGAATCTCTCCCACCCAGTGGCTTGCTGATACAGTCTGTAACACAGGATGCTGTAGGCCTCTCCCCTCTGCCTGGTTTGGGGCTGTGCTTTGCAGGTCTGCATTTGGGCTCCTGGACCCCTACAGCCACAGCCCAGAGAGTGTGGGGAGGGGGATGGCTCAGCTTTGGTGTGGCCACAGGTTCCTGTGTCCCTCCCAGTGCCCTCTGTGCCCCCTGTCCTCCAGGCACAGTGGGACTGTGCTGCTCAGTTGCTGGGTTGGGTCTGGCACTGTGGGCCCCCGGCTCTGCCAGGAGGGATCAACTCTGTTCTGTTTGATTGCAGTCCCCACATGAGGCTGTGCTGGAAGGTGTGGGTTATGTGCTCTCACAGCTCCTCCAAGCCAAGGAATCACCCATGGAGATCATCCCGTGAGTCTGAGTCCTGCACCTCTGAATCCTGCACCAGG